AACCAATTAATTGGTTTTCCATTATCTCTTCTTATGGGGAAAATTCGGTCACAACTCAAACTTTTTAGGATTTGATCCGGAGTTCTGAACGGATTAAATTTGAGTTCTGAGGTACCACTGTGTGTATGTGTGTGTGTGTGTGTGTGTGTGTGTGTGTGTATATATCTGATGTGCACACACACACATACACACACACACCCCTGGGTAACAGCCATCTGTATGGGTCTGTGTTCTTGGCTTCATCTCAGTGTGAGCATTCAGATGTCAATGCTGCCCCCTGCTGGTAGCACCACTTAATTTAATTTAGGTTAATAAACCCTAAATGAACATGTCAACAACATGCACACAGATGAGCCGTAGCTTCTGGTTCATGCGCCATGTCTCTCCCCCTCCCTCAGGAAAGCTTGAACTCAGGGGGGCTGGTTGAGCTCACTGGGATCAAAGATCTGGATGATGTGAGCCTGGAGATTGCTGAGCTGCAGAGGTGAGCTGGCAATGGGATGGATTATTTTTGTATTTGTCCGCTTATCTGCAGTACCTCCTCTGTCCACCAGGGGTGAAACATGATTATTAGGTGTATCTTAAAGTGCATAAGAACATGTCTATTATCTGGCTGTGGTGACTTGTGTGGATTTAATCTTGAGATTGAATGAATAAAAGGACCCTATCAGGTTTTAGACCTAGTGGACAGGAAGCCATACAGGCCGACAGGCATCAGAGGGTGCTGTGCTGATGTGTCATTTCTGCGGTTTGTGTAGCTGATTCTGATCAATTCAGAATTGCAGATCATAAAAACCAGAGTGTGTTTTGTTCCTCTTTCTGCTCAGGGAGAAATCTTTGCTGGAGAAGGAGGTCAGGGAGAAGGAGGAGGCCATCAGGCACAAATCAAGTGAGGTGCAGGTGAGGGAGTCAACGTGGGGGTGCGGCCGGGCGGGTTCAGATGCTGTGCCTGTGACAGGAAGATTATTGGTTCAAATCCCGAGGTCAGGTGCATCATTTTGCTGTTAGGCTGTTTACCCCATTTTTTATAGGTTTTTTATAGACTTCCTGTTTGATCCTGGGTCCCTTGGAAGGTGGTCTGCATCCTTAACGGCTGCGACACCTATTGTCCGACCTGATAAACAGCAGCTCCTTCTCTCGCACCCTGCCCACCGTGATAGGAGATGCAGAGGGACCTGGAGCGGGAGACCAGTGGCCTGCAGCAGCTGGAGGCGCAGAAGCAGGACGCCCAGGAGCGGCTGCAGGAGATGGACCAGCAGAGGGCGAAGCTGGAATCCATGCTGGCCGACGTGCGGCTCAAGTGCCGGGAGGAATCCCACACGGTGCGGCCCTGCTGAGCCTGTCTGCCTCTGGGGGCTCCGACATACAACAGACAGTCCCTAATGGCCATGTGCACCCGCAGGTCACCTCTCTGCAGAGCCAGATCCAGTCGCAGGAGGCGGACATTCAGAGCCAGGAGGCGGAGCTAGGAGAGGCGAGGGCGGAGCTGGGGCGCTTACAGCACGAGGAGACTCAGCTGGATCAGAGCGTGCGTGCGGGCAGGACGCGGCTGGATGCTGTCACAAGGTCCCTCAAAGCCACACAGGAGGAGATCAGCCAGGTGAGGTGGTGGTGGTGGGGAGGGTGCTTACAGGGGGGCGTGGCCCTGTTTGCAAAGGGGCTGGGCTTCTTAATTTGATTGATGGTTAGGCTGACCAATCAGGTGCCGGTTGTGGTTCTGCCCCCTGCAGGCACGCAGTAAGCTGTCCCAAATCCAGGCCAGTCAGGAGGAGGTGAAGAGGACCATCGAGGAGTACGGCAGCATCCTAAACGGAACCGGCTCAATCAACCTGGCCGACACCTTTCCGCTAGAAGACGCCCAGGTGAGGAATCATGGGACTGAGCTGATTCCTCTGTAGCATCACGTTACTCTTGGCTCCATGACACCGACCCTGGAGACGGATTCGTACCGTGATGGGATTCACTGCTTTTGCTCCCAGCAGGACCCTTTAAGGACAAAGGCCTCCCCGTTCCCGGTGCCGTCCCAGGAGCTGACCTCTGACCCCTTCCCGACGGAGGACCCCTTCAAATCAGACCCCTTCAAAGGTACCCCTAATCTGACGCAGTGGGGTTGCCGACGGCCTTGCTGGCCCAGTGGGGGCTCACGGGATCTGTTGCAAATTTTGTGCAGTGGAGGGGGGTTTATCTCAGGGAGGGCAGAGGCAGGAGATCTGGGTGCCCACACTCGCACTGCAGAGATGCCGTTTGCACAACTGCCAACAAGATAGCAAATCCGAGTGTGGGTCGGTATTGGGGGAATAAGCCACGCCTCCATTCTGAAGCCCCACCCACACTCGTGCTGAAGCCCTGCCCCTCCACGCTGAAGCCCTGCCCCTCCACGCTGAAGCCTCACCTTCAAACTGACCCTCTGACCCTTGCTCCTTACAGACACGTTTTCCGGTGACCCTTTCAAAGGCAGTGACCCTTTCAAGACATCCTCATCCGATGGCTTCTTCGAGAGGGACCTCTTCTCGCCATCTGCGTCGTTCGGCCCCTCCTCCAGGGTAACAGAGCTGTGAGATCGCATCCAAATCTGTAAGGACCTCTTTGTGAGAGTTTAACCCCCCCCACCCCTCTCTCTCTCTCAGGCTGCCTCCGTTGGGCCCAAATCAAACACTTCAGGTAAGCTGGTCCAGAAGGTTCCGGGGAAGGCCTGGGTCCTGGGGGGTCGCTCTTAACAGCTCTCCCCCAGTGATATTATTATACGGAGTGTGCAGTTTGGTTGCGGTGAGCAGTGTGTGTCACTATGCCCCCCCACCCTGTCACTGACAGTAACACACTTCCCCAATTCCTGTACACACTGACACCCCCTTCCTGTTCCATACTAGTGAAAACCGTGCAGGCAGAAGTGACCATGTGCGTCTGTGTCATTCCACGTGATCAGGACCTTCCTGCTTACTCAACCCCCCCCCCCCCCCCCCCCCCCCCCCCCCCCCCCCCACCCCCCCCCCCCCCCCCCCCCCCCCCCCTAGGCAATGCACCTGGTGTACCGCAGCCTGGAGCACGAGCCCATCCCCCCGAGTCTCCCCTCCGCCCTCATCCCACCCTCCAAGAGGAAAAAGGTCGGCTCCACACTCCCCGGCTCCGTGGTTGTCCTCCCGTTGACGCCCCCCCCAGCAAGGGACAGCCTACACTCCACCCCCACCCACACCAGCCTGGTATCGGTCCCCAGTAGCCCCTCCCCCAGGCCCTCACTCGAGCCACAGGTGCGTGCGACACCCCGGTGGGCTGCGTTTCCATGGTACCATGCGAATGCCTTAGCGTGTTAGCTTAGCGTCTCTGAGCCAGGTGTGCTTTCAAGGTGGGACTGTTGGTTGTCCTGCGGATTGTGGTTCTAGGGTGAGCCGGCTGTTTCCCTGAGATCTGCACGCAGTTTCTGGAATGCTGAGATCCGGCCTGGTCACATTCCTGTCGTTCCTGTCGTTCCTGTCGTTCCACATTCTGGTTTTTCCTGATCGTTGGGTTTTCCCTGCATCTTCACCTCAGCCCTCTGTAAACTGGGCGGTGCCGGCGGCAGACCGGGGGCGTTATGACGACATCTTCCAGAAGACAGACATGGACATGGATGGCCTGGTCGGTGGCCATGAAGTGAAGGAGATCTTCATTCATTCCGGGCTTTCTCAAAACCTGCTGGCCCACATCTGGTAAGTGGGGGGGAGGGGAGCTGTCTAGGGTGTGTGGTCTGGCCCGATCCGGCCCTGTGCAGGACGCAGCATCTAACCACTGGTCTTATAAACCAAAATGTTCTCAGAGGGACCATGTCAGACAGAAATGCAGGATACATGTAAATATATGGAACCTTTATCATGCTAAGGGCGATGCAGGTTTGGGTAGAAAGACCACAAAGGGTGCCCCCCCCTCCCCCCCAGGTCCCTGGCTGACACCAGGCAGGTGGGGAAGCTGACCAAGGAGCAGTTCTCTCTGGCCATGCACCTCATCAACCAAAAGGTCTCCAAAGGGCTGGACCCCCCCCAGGCCCTCACCCCCGACATGCTGCCCCCCTCAGAGAGGGCTGCCCTGGAGGCTGTGAGTACCCTGAGCGGCTGGTCTGCTGAACTGGATTGTGGGAAATGGCTGGCGGCTCTCACTGGGGGCTTGGTGGTGAATGATGGTGTAAGTCATCCTCAATCTCTGGTGAAGAAAGAAAGGAAGAAACCGCGTATGGACTCATGTAGAGAGGTAGCTACCCTTCAATCCCAGCTCCAGGGCCCGGGTTTGAGTGAAACAATCGGTTACTAAATCAGTTAATGAATGGCTTTTAAGTTCAGCATAATAGCTCCTGAACTGAACCATATTTGGGTTATTGTGTTAAATAAGTTCTGGACCAGTTTAGGTTTCTTGTGATTTCAGCTGTTCCATTCACTCAGCCATCAGGCTAATCAGCGAACCTGTAATTAATGAAGAAGACTGGGGAATAAAACCGACTGTGGGACTGAGATTGAGATTACAGGGACTCTGCTGTGACTTAGGCTGTCCTTCGGAGATCAGGACTGAGATGACAGGGACTCTGCTGTGACTCGCCAGCTAGCCGTCCTTAGGAGATCAGGACTGAGATGACAGGGACTCTGCTGTGACTCGCCACCCGGCCGCCATTAGGAGATCAGGACTGAGATGACAGGGACTCTGCTGTGACTCGCCACCCAGCCACCCTTAGGTGTTCAGGACTGACAATACAGGGAGTCTGCTGTGACTCGCCACTCGGCTGGCCTTAACCTCCTCTCTGGAGTAGCTTCTCTCTCCCCCTCTCTCCTCCAGCCCTCTCTCTTCCTCCCTCCCTGTCTCACTCTCTCCCCTTTTCTCTTCCTCTTTCTGCCTTCGTCTTTCCCCTTCTCCTTATCTCTTTCCCTCCCTCTCTTTCTACCCTCTCTTCTTCTCCCTCTCTCTCTCCCTATGTGTCTTTCCTCTATCCCTCTCTCCCCCTCTCTTCGTCTTCATCCCCCCATGTGTCTATCTTCCTCCCCCTCTCTCTCTTCCCCTTGGTCTCTCACTCTTTCTCTCCACAATGTCCATCACACCTCACTCCAAGCCCTGCTCTATCTTCTGTTTCTCTCTTCCAGAGCTTTCTGGGGTTCTTGCCCCACAGGGGGTTAGACACAACAAGCGTGTCGGAAATGCAGCATGTGAGTAACTCATGTTACTCACTCCTATATCCTCAGTATTCACTATATGTATATATATATATACACACACACACACACACACACACACACACACATGTTGTGGTACCTCAGTTCTCAAACTCATTATAGCTCGAATTTCTTAAAAGTCGAACCAATCAGTTCGGAAAAAAAATTACCTGGAGCTCGATCTGAATCTCAGAAGTCAAACCGTGAACGCCGACCTAAGATAACTTGTATGTGCGGGGAAATGAGTCACGCCACACGTCTCTCAGCGGAAACAAAGGGAAATGCTTCAGTCTCAGCCTCACATTCGCTGTGATAGCATCCTGCATGTTTACACTAGCTGAATACATATATTTAGACAGTAAAAATACATTTAGACAATGATAGACAGTAACAGTAATTATTGTATAATAAAATACATTTAAAAATAAAGATTTCTTATTAATTATTTTAATATTAATGATAAACCATTAATACATTTAATTATAATAATATTGTCCTGCCGAGCGGGGACGGAACGGAGACAAAGGCGCAGACGTCAGGGTATCGGGGAATAAAGGGTTTAACTTCAGGTAAGGCAGGCAAAACGCAGACGGACAATACAATGACCGGACTGGGGAAACAAACTGAAACATGGAAGAAATACAGAGGGCTAATGACAACAACCAGAAACAGCTGATCACACTGGGATTCTACATGAGGTTAACGAGGGGGCGTGGCACACGGAAGGAGCGGACGATCGGG